TTTCTTTTTGTTGGATTCTCCGCCTTTGCTTTTAATTTCTTGTCATGCCTGATGGATTCATTCTGCCACACTTCCTGTGGTTGTGATCTTCATTGTCTTTTCCTAGGATATGGTTTAAAAGTTTTAAAGTGCTACTTTGGCATTCATGAATTTTCTCAGGTGCTCTTTATCATGAAAGTATCTTATTTCTCCATCAATGTTTAAAGATAGTTTTGAAAGATAGTTTTTTGAAAGATAGTTTTACATCAATGTGGGTTGGAGGCTGTTTTCCTTTAGGGCTCGAAATACTTCACTCCAAGTTCTTCTTGCCTTGAGGGTTTGTGTTGAGAATTCTGCTATGATTCTGATGGACTTTCCTTTGTATGTGATTTGTTTCTTTTCTCTACCTACTTGTACAGTTTTGTTCTTCTGTTGGGTTTCTGGAATCTGAACTATTCTATGCCTATGTGTAGATTTCTTTTGATCATGGCTAGTTGGAGTCCTATATGCCTCACTTATCTGTATGTCAAGTTCTTTTCAACTAGTTGGGAAGTTTTCCACCATTAATTCTGTGAACAGTTGTTTTTTTTTGTCATCTGCAATCTCTCCTGTTTCTTCATTGACTCTCACCAGTCTTATGTCATTCTTCTTTGCATTGGCTAGCACCTGATGGATTGATTTCATGTGATCTCTTACTATTTTTAAGAAATTTTTCTTTCCTGGGCAGTAATTGCCTTCCTAATTTCTACATCTGAAATTCTATCCTCACATTAGCTCATTCTGCTGCATAAACTTTCAATGGAGTTTTTAATCTCTTGGAAACCTGATTGCAACTGTTTTATGGATTCCATTTGTTTCCTATGTTAAGATTCCATCATGTATCTCAGGCTCTCTATTTTTTTAATCTGTGTCCTCTCTAGATTTATTTATCATGTCTTGCACTATGAGTACAATGTCTGTTCTTATCTGAGAAGTTATTTCTGATTTCACTTTTTCCAGATCCTCCTTTGTTGCCAGTTCAGGGAGTCCAGGTGGTTGAGTATCAGATTGTTCCATCTCGTTGCCCTTTGGGGTTTCCATACAACTAGGGCATCTGGAAGTCTGATTCTGAGACTTGTTTACATGTCTTCTCATTTCATCAGATGCAGCAAAGTTTTGCTCACCCGGTGGTCTTCAATTATCAACAAGCCACTGAGCAGCCTTTTCTCTGCTGTTCACCAGTACACCAATTCCTGGGTTCAGAATGGTTGTCTTCTGGATCTTTCAGCTGACCTGTTGTCTGGGTGGGCTTCTGGCTGGGGCCTGTGCACACTTGGGATGGCATCTAGGCAGGCCTCTGGCTAGGGCCTGCCCCACTACATAGCTGTTGTCTAGGAGGGCCTATGGCTGAGGCTGTGCACCCCAGTCCCTGGTGTCAGTGCAGGCTTCTGGCTAGCGTCTCTGCACATTTACTGATGGTATCAGGGTGGGCCTCTGTCTATTGCTCGTGAACCTGTGAAGGTCTTTTGTGGGCAGACATTAGGCTTGGGCCTGTGTGCCCAAGCAGCTAGGGTCAGGGCGGGGCACTGGTTGGATCTGAGTGAAGCTGCGCCACTCTGGTCCACCCCACTACTCACAGGGCAAATCTGTTCTTTCTGGACAGGATAACTACATCTTGGAAGTAGCCTATTTACCCACAAACATGTCAAAGAATGAAGAAAATGTGGTATTTGCACACATTAGAGCACTACTCTGCCAGAAAGCAGGAGAAACTTGACTCGTTTGTAGGAACATGAATGTACCTTGACACCATAAGATTAACTTTAAAAAAAATCAGACACACAATCTGAAATATCACATGGTTTTTCTTACATGACAGAGCTGAAGTACAAATAAACTAAATCAGGGAAACAGGGAGATAAATTTTGTGAAAGAAACGAGGCCCCAGAAATGGAAGGCAAGGGGAGGGAGGGGAGGCAAAGGGGATGAGAAAAAGAGTGAAGGTGGGTTACGTACAAGGGCCAGCTCTCCATGAGGAATATGCATCATACTGCACACAGGGACTCACAAAAAGGAAAGAAAATGCAAACTAAGTTCTTCTAGAATATCCAGCGGTGAGCCAGCCAGAGCATGGAAGGGACGTGCATCTCCCCACACCCCAGGCCAGGCCCTCCCTGCTCTTTTCTATCTAGGTTCATGCACTGCTGATGTAACTGCTGATCTAAACAGCATCTAAAGGGCCACCATTTTCCTGGACAAGTTCTCATCTGTGGGGCACCAGAGTCTGGTCCCCTGAAGTGCCCAATGGGGACGGATTCAGCTGACTTTCCAAAACCTGCACCATCCCCAACTTCACTAGTTCCCCTTTGTGGTGGCCACAGCTCTCCCTCACCAGCTACTTCCGGTTCTGCTTCCTGGGCTCACCCCACAGTCCTCCATTGCTTCCCTGACAGGAGCCGAACTGGCTCTGCCCCTGCCACACGCAGGATGCTGGCCCTGCTGCTGCTGGCCCTGCTGTGGGCTGGTGAGTGAGCTGAGGGAGGGAGGTCAGGAGGGCTGAGGGCTGGGCTGCAGCTGAGCGTCTGTGTCCCCACAGGGTCCCTGCAGCAGGATCGAAAGTTCCAGATCATAGTGCAGGAGTCAGTGACGGTGCAGCAGGGCCTGTGTGTGCTGCTGCCCTGCTCCTTCTCCTATCCCTCTAGTCTGTGGATTTCCTCTGGAGAGTTCTACATGTCCTGGTTCCGGATCAGGCATAACCCTTACAACGGTGATCCTGTGGCCACAAACAACCCAAACTATGAACTGACGACAGAGATCAAAGATCGATTCCACCTCCTTGGGGACATCAGGACCAGAAACTGCTCCCTAAGCATCAGAGGAGCCAAAATGGTGGACTCAAGATCCTATGTCTTCAGAATAGAGACCAAGAAGCATGACAAATACTTTTATGCAAAAAACCCAGTGAAATTGCAGGTGACAGGTAGGTAGTGTCCCCAGGAGGGGACCTCGGGTCTTGGATGCCCCAGATGAGAGCAGGAACAGGGTGTTAGACGCTCCGGGGCTTGGTCTTGGGTCTGGGGAGGTCACAGGAATACGGGGCATGGACCCACTCGAGCCCTGAGGAACAGTGACTCTTGGGGTCACACTGTGGTCCCCACGCTGGGCCCAGGCAGCTCTGTCTCCTCCTCAGCCCTGACAGAGAAACCCATCATCCACATCGCAGAGCCTCTGGAGTCCAGCCGCCCCACACAGCTGACCTGCAGCCTGCCAGGATCCTGCAAAGGCGGGCCCCCCCTCACCTTCTCCTGGTCGGGGGACGCCCTGAACTCCATGGACTCTGGGACCCTGACTTCCTCGGTGCTCACTCTCACCCCTCGGCCCCAGGACCACGACACCAACCTCACCTGCCAGGTGCAACTCGGAGGAGCTCAGGTGACCACGGAGAGGACCATCAGGCTCAGTGTCTCCTGTGAGTGATGGGGGGACTGCTGGGTCCCCAAGAGCAGTGTGAACTCTGTGTGTGTGTGTGTGTGTGTGTGTGAGAGAGAGAGAGAGAGACAGAGAGAACAATGACCTGAGAAAACTGTATGGACTGAGCTCTGCTTTTCTGGTGGGGAGAGAGTCAAAGCACAACACTCCCAATTTCCATTTCCATGACCTCCCTGTGTGCCTCCCGGGCTGTCCCATCCCATCCCACTGCTACTCTGAGGTGAGGCTGCGTCTTTCTCCCCAGATGCTCCACAGAACCTCAGCATCAGCCTCTACTTCAGAAACGGCACAGGTAGGAATGCGCCTGCTCTCTCATCCTGGGACCCCTTGAGTGGCATTGGGGAGTCAGAGCTTGAATGAGGCAGACAGTGGAGGAAGAGGCACAAGGATCATCGCCCTCTGCCCCCGCCTCCTGCACATCCCATGTGCACATGCATGTGTACACGCCCAGACCCACAGACCCTACTCTGCTGCAGAGAGGAGCAGGCTGTGGACTTACCCATCCCCCACCTCTTCCATGATCCGTTTTCTTTTTTTTTTTTTTTGGAACTGGGGATCAAACTCAGGTCTTTTTGCTTGCAAGGCAGGTAGCAGAACCACTGAGCTAAATCCCTGCCCCCGCCTCCTGCACATCCCATGTGCACATGCATGTGTACACGCCCAGACCCACAGACCCTACTCTGCTGCAGAGAGGAGCAGGCTGTGGA